AGAAGCTTCGCGGTAATTGTGTAATTGTTCGTGGACAAGGCAGTAGTGATGGCGGCGGCGGCGGCGGCGGCGGAGGAGGAGCAGGAGGAAGTGGAAGAATACGGCGGTCGTTCTTTTCGTTCGGTGGTCGGAGCTGGAGGAGTGTCGTACAGCCGGTGAATATTGATGCTTTATGAAGTTGAAAGAACGAGGGGAAATTGAGGCCGGAGAAAAGAAAATAGTGGAAACGAATTAAAATTGAAGCTTGTTGTGATTTCTGATTCTGTTTTTTCTTTCATTTATTGCGTTTAGTTTGAGAGAATGATTAGATTAGGCAGTCTGTAGCAAATATGTTGTTCCTCGTTTGGTTTGGCATTGATGCATGATAGCAAATAGGAGATTAGTTTGAGATGAAATCTCATAAATAATAACAAAATAGCTTTATTATTTGTGAAAATTGTTTGAGTGATTCAATTTCGAGAGATTGAAAAAGTCATTCTGAGTGCTGCGCAACGGTAAAGTTTTGGCAGATCTGTCATAGCTTTTAGTTGTATTTTGTTGAAATTACTTGTTATCTGAAAAAAATGTTCTATGCTTTTCATATATTAAGCTGGCGGAATTTTCAAAGTGTGCGGGAGAGTTGTTAGAATCGGTTGAAGTTCTTAGAAAGTTGCTTATAAAGTAGGAAAATTATGAAGATAATCATGAATATATAATTTCTTAAAAAAAATCTGACAGAAAACTTATTACAGCAATTGCACTTTCTGATTAGATTTAATGAAAACAGCTTCTTATCGCAATAATTTCTAGAAAATCATCCTCTAAAGAGATTAGTGGTGGCAATTTACAAGACAATAAAGACAGAAAGCTGTTCCAAACAGAGTAGTCTCAAATATATAAACTTGCATGTTACTGAAACCAGAAAAGGTTGAAATAAAAGAAATGGATTTGCTACACTTTGTTTCCCAATTTGGTTTGATTTCATTACAATTAATAACTTCTTAAGGTATGGTGTTTTGGTATGTGATGCTTTCAAAAATTGCTCAAAATTAGAATTCAAATCCACAAGCAACTAATGTTTCATTCATAGGCACGGGACATTAGAAAAACATGTAGAAATATATGAAAAGGGCATTTCAATAGATAACTCAATTCCAATATGTTTACAAATGTAAAATCTAAACTTACATCATTATATGCATGACAATCAAATTTTTAACATTACATAAAGAATAACCCAATTATTTATTTTAAAAGTGAAGCACGTCCTTTTCATGCTTAATTTTACGACAATAAGGTGTTATAAATGTCAATTTAAAAGTTTAGAAGTTAGATATGTAAATATATATGTATAGTACATAAGAGTTGTATGAGATGTAAATTTCTCAAATATTAAGTAGTCATAAGTAGCAATATGGCCGAGCTCGGACAAGTTAGTACATATTATTTTTAAAAATAGAGAAGAGGGCTATTCAATCCTATGGGCAAGTACAAATATAATAAAAACAAGTTCAATAAAAAAAGTTATGCATATTTAAATACAACTAATAAAAATCTTGAAAAAAATATCATAAAATAAAACTTTGAATCCTCTAGAAAAAAATTAAATATAGTTCATTAAATGTACATAGAACAAATAAAAAAAAACATTAATCATTCATGGATTGGTCGATTGCTGATCACAATTGAATTGAATTTACATCTTTACCGGGCAATAGTATATAAGATTGTATATAGAAATATATTTAAATAAAAACCTCTATGATATGCACATTAAAACATATCATTGGTTAACTATGCATATTTATAAATTTATTAAAAATGAACTTTAGTTTTTGTTTGAAAAATAAGTTAATGTGAAAGATGTTTGTAAGAACATTGGGGCCATTCCAACTTCTTCTATATGAATGGTGAAATCATGATTCATAATCTTAAACAAACAGTAATTTGGCATTGAATAAAACACATGAGAAACAAAGAGAAATAGTATAATGTAGAACATTGGAAGAAAGAAATAAAGATCTACAGTGATTTGGACCATAGATTTACATTCACTCTCAAAGCAAGTAAGGATATATATTGTACAATTTTAACATTAAAGAACAGCCATACTAATCATAGAGTTTCTTGAGAGCAACAAATGGAAAAAAATGATGGAGGAGATAAAATTATGGTGACTAAATTACATAACTAAATGCTCAATTTAGTTGGTATGTTCGATATGAAGAAGAGGAGAGTTTTAAACATCACTTGACCTTCTAAGAAGATTTGGTGAAAGATTCTAATACACTTCAAGAGACTTAATAAATGTACTCATTAATCTCTGATGAAGGCTTAAATTTTACAGATGAGAAAAAAGATAATTGTTAGAGAATTGAAGTTTGAGATATAGTAGAAATGACAGAAAGAGTTCTTAGAAGTGGATGACATATCCTACCCCTCCAAAACCCTATAGATCTTTGTCTACCGCAGAGGCTGAGTACATGACAGTCACTAAAGCTATGAAGGGATCAATATGGACGCAGAGCCTATTGGATGACTTGAGAGTTAATCAGGAGTCTCTGACGGTATTCTGTGACAGTCAGAGCGTGATATTCTTGGTAACAAATCCATTTCATCATGTTCATATCAAGTACATTGATGTGAGATATCACTTTGTTCAGGACTTAATTGAATAAGACAATATTTTGTTGAAGAAGATAAATACGAAGAAAAATCCATTGGACAAACTGGCAAATGTACTACTAGTCCAGAAGTTCACATACTATAGGAGTTTGGTGAACATACGAGTTCAGGGATGATTGCCCAATTGGGCATTTTGAAGAACTACACGAGGCTTGATCCCTTCGGGAGGAGGGGTACGTAGGCAACCATCTTGGTGTAGTTGAATTAGATTTTGTAGCTCGTTTGGTCTTTTCTGACTTATCTAGAAGTAAAAGATGACGTAGAGATTGTTATTTTATGTCATTATTTTAATTATGGGTAGTTTGGTTTTTTTGCTATATTTACTTGTATACACTTGTCCTCCTCTATAAAAGTGGCTTAAGGGCCTGTGAGAGTTGTATGGTGAGGTGTGTGGAAGTTGTAACCCAAACTTGTTTTCTTTCTCCCCATCTGGTACTAGTAAAATCTCCCCTTCTTAGACATAGGCAAATCAAGTTAATGTTGAACCACATGAATCTTTTTGTGTTTTATTGTTGTTTTGTGAATTTCTACGCTTATGCATTGTTTTCACATAACAGCTTAACCCAATGGTCACCATCTTTTAAGAGAAAGAGGTTTTTTAAGGGGGGATGCAAGCCATCTTGATTTAGTGGTAGATAACATTATCTTTCAACCAAAGGGTCTTGAATTCAATGACTTATATATGCGGTGTGCATGTGTTTGGGTGTATGTATAAAATAGAAGTGGATGATATTCATAACTTTAATTATTTTTTATATATTTATATTTATATTTTGTTTTTATTTTATTTCTTATTTTGATATGAAATATAATTTATACAACACATTAAAAATATAAAAAAAAAATTATTTTTAATTCTAATTTGGTGGAGATGGTTGATTAGGGCAACAATAGGTGGTGGGAAATGAAGGGAGATCATCAGAAGTGGCATGTTGTGGGTGGCAATGATGACATTTTTAAAAATACTTAAAATAAATAACAGTCATAATTATTATTTTTCAAATAAGTTGATTTGTTCTTAAAAATAAAAAGTATACTAAGAAACATAATAAATTAGCATTGTTTTAAATAAAAAAAAAATTAAAATATAAGAATAAAGGAAAAAAAAAATAGCAATGGAATGCTTCCAACGTTTTTTCTATTTATTTTCTTAACTTACAATATTGTACACCAAATTTGATTTACCATTTTTTCTTTTCTAGTTAATGCATGTAAATTTTTAAGAAAATATGTTGGATTGCCTCTTGAAGCTCAATGTCTCTTGGGCTGTAAATATATTAATATGCTTGGCATGCTACTCTTGACTCGGCCACTTTAGAACTCTGCACTCAATTTGATCATAAGTCGCCTCCAAACAAAATTTCAGACTTTAAACTACTATAGGTGGCAGTCCCCCCAACAAAATTTCAAACTTTTGACTATTATGGCAGACATTTTGATCTTTTGCTCTTCCTAAAATATAGAAGACAGCGGCTTCGCCCAGCTGAAAAGTGAACGACGGCATCAGTGTATGGAGATCTTTAAACCATGTTTCACATCCTTCTATTCCTCTCTTTGGCCGAAAACAGTTAGGAAGATAACCCTTGTCTTTCTCTCGCTGCTCTTCAGCTTTTAAATATGGTATCTAAATTACTTTGAAGCCAAACTATAATCACAATTTAGAATCGCAAAATAACTTTAAGGGGTTTGTTGCATAATCTAATCCTCTATATCTTCAAACTTTTCTTGATAATTTGATTGCCCTCCCCCATCTCAATCTTTCTACTGACGGTTTACTTTGGTTTTATTGGATATTTCTTAACGCGATACTTCCCTATTTTCCAATTTCACTTAATTTATGTCTCAGTTCTTATAAAATTATCTTGCTGTTAAGTTTTACGTTTATGATCTATAATTCTTGTAACTGATATTCTTCTTTTACTACTTTATTATCAATCTAGGTTCATATCACTCAAGGCCACTGTGACGGGAAAGTTGTTGGCAAAATCTATTGTGCAATGATATATCATTGTATTCATTACAACGGAGTATCCTGAATTATATGTTATGAAGTATCCTATTTATGGAGTAGCAAATAAAAATTTATTGAAGATCTGGCGATAACTTTCAAAGACGAAAATTTTCAACCGTTGTACTTAGAATATGACAATGTTTTTCAAACTTGTGAAGTGTTCCTTATATTTTGCATGAAAAAAATGTTATACTCGATGTTGTGTTATTACCCCTTCCTTCCCAAATATGGGACAATGGTGTATCTTTATGATTACACATTTATATTAGAATACTTTGTTTGGGCTGGGTCCCATAG